AACTGCGCAACGATCAGTTGGAAGGCAGAAGATAAAGATCTGTGCGAGAATTTCTTCGGGAACACGTCGTATGGGTGAGAGTAATGCCTGGTGTGCATCGACAATTTCTTTGAGTTCCTTGTATTGGTTCGCCGCCGCGCTCAACCGTTCTAACTCAGGAAGTTTACTGGAGATGAAAGATGACAGCTCTTCGAGTTGCTCATCGGAAGGAGCGTAGTTTGTATGGAGTCTATCCTCGAACTTGGATGATGGTTTAGAGGAGCTATGGTGTGGCGTTCTGTTCAATATTTAAGTCAGAGCATGTAGCGACTAGAAATGAAAATAAACACACTCTTTATGCATAAATGGCCCGGTGAGTCTAGTTATGGTTGGTGGTGAGGTTGTGGGGCTGAGAAGCTGTGGTATGAAGGAAGTGGAATACAACTACTTTTATACTCTGAGGAACGACAGACGCCACACCCGGGGACAACGGCTTCACATCGCATGAAGAAAGAAAAAAAGAGGGCTGATACGATCAGATAATGGATATAGACTTAACAACATATGAATCAGTGCCCGAAAATCCTACAAGGGGCATGATTCCACCAAACAAGGCTCACAGTGGTCCTTTTAGACTATTAGGTAAATCACAGGCGAGCTTATTTTTCAGTACAGCAAACCGGCAAATAGATATAACAGAGTAATGAGCACAAGATGTACCAAAGCTGTAGAATCTGATTTGAGAGTTCCCCTTCTTCACGGAGAACCATTGCCAAGTTATTATTCCAGGAGACGCTCGCCATCGTCATCTTAAGAGCTCAGAGTAGGTTCCTAGGCAATAGAGACAGCATTTTTCACAGATCTAGATTTACTTGTCCTTCTTGAATAGGTGGTTCTGAGGTATAGCTTGTTCTATGAGTTTATTACTGTAGCAAATCCCGAATTCAAAGAAGACCAATACTCTGGCATCCGTTAAAGCAGTTAAAGTTCTGTACAGGGGCACCATATCACCTGATACAAGACCTGAACAGACGCATGCACCAGAAGCGGACACTGCAAGAGCTGTGAGGTTGAAACTAGGGTGAAGCAAGTTGGACGTCATTGGCGAAGCTCGCATTTACCCGAGCGCTGGCCCCAAAATCCACGCTTGAAGCAAATGTCACACAAGCCCAAACACTCATCTCCACTGTCTTTCCATCCTCGCGCCGAATGTCATCTAAACTCCTCATCCCTCTCCATGTCTCGTACATCCAGAAACTCGGCGAAGTGCGTAGCACAATAACATGTCAGCTCACCGAATACAACAGAAACTGATTCCTCGTTTCGCTCTTTCGTTCACAGAGCAAAGATGATCTTGCCTACCATCTCACCTCGCATCTCCGGCTCAATGCAATCTACTGGGGGCTCACAGCACTCTGCGTGATGGGGCACCAAGAAGCACTGGATAGAGAAGAGATGATCGAATTTGTAATGAGTTGTTGGGATGATGAGGCAGGTTTGCGATATGCTTTATTCACTGGTGGAGAGGGCGTAGAACTAATTGGACACGATTTCTACATTTCTCTCTCGTAGGCGGATTCGGCGCCCACCCCGAACACGACGCGCACCTCCTCTCAACACTGAGCGCGATTCAGATATTGATCATGCAAGATGCTCTGGATAGAGTGGACGTTCCACGGGTGGTTAGCTGTGCGTCTCCTTTCCTTTCCCCTACCCATCATCTTCCCCACTATCAACAGCCCAACTAACCACCCCTTCCCCTTCAAATAGTCATACTCTCCCTTCAACAACCGTCCGGCGTATTCGCAGGCGACTCTTTCGGCGAATTCGACACGCGATTTCTCTACTGCGCAGTCAGTGCTTTATCCCTCCTAGGGCGGCTAGATGAGTTGGATAAAGAGAAGACAGTTGGGTATATCGAAAGGTGTAGAAACTTCGATGGTGGATTCGGGAATGTAGTGGGGGCGGAGAGCCATTCTGGTCAAGGTGCGTTTTGTTTCTGCTAGAGTTGTGAACGAAGTTGTGGTAGGATAGGCGTTAACTCGATTCTTGGGACAGCTTTCGTGTGCGTAGCAGCACTCGCCATCCTCGATCGACTCGATGTGGTAGACACCGACACGCTCTGCTGGTGGTTGAGCGAACGGCAGCTCCCGAATGGTGGGCTGAATGGGCGGCCAGAGAAGTTGGAGGATGTACGCAAGCTATCTGTTCCGTCTCGAGTCAGTGGAAATGCTAATAGATGATCCCGCGGTCCAGGTATGCTACAGCTTCTGGGTCCTATCCGCGCTATCGATCCTTAATAAAGTTGAATGGATCGATGCCAACAAGCTATCGTCATTTATCTTATCCGCACAAGTCAGTTCTTGGTTCCTCTACGCCCCTTTACCCAAACTGACATCCTCTCACGATATAGGACCTAGAGACCGGCGGTATCGCAGATCGACCAGGTGACATGGTGGATGTGTTCCACACCATATTTGGCGTAGCTGGTGAGTGATCGTGAGCTGGGAATAGTCTCGTATTCGAATCATCATCTATCGCGTTAATAATGAATGAGTCACTCATTTCGACGTTTTTCCGTGCAGGTCTATCTATATTGGGATACCCGGGATTGGTAGATTTAGATCCGGTGTATTGCATGCCTGCGGCTGTGATAGAGGCGAAGGGGCTAAGGAAAGGGTGGAAGGCACTCGAGCGACGCCCCGCCGACTCATAGCAACGAGTCAACTAGACAAATTGGAATTCTTGACCATTGTAATTGCGAAGGGACTATGGACAGTTGGTCTTGGTATCAAAGTAGAAGCCTCGTCCCTTTGAGACTTGTAACTGTTGCCAATTGTAGATGAGTATGGATCCGCGTTGCTTTTGGCGGGTCCAAGTGCAAGCGGCCGATGGTCGTGGAGTGTCGGCGGGTTTCCTTTTGGGGCTCCGATAAATGTCGGAACTCGGCAGCTTCCGAAGTTTGGCTGGGAGTCATCTCGTCCATTGTTGACGTTCCGATTTGAGACTCCCACCGTTGATAGACACTACTTGAGGCCACTCCGCGCCGTGCCACTCTTTCCCCCTCTTCTGCTTCTCCTCTTCTGCTCCCTTGCTAGCTGCTGCTCGTCGCCGTCGTCCAGCCCGTTCATTCTTGGGCCACACATCACTTGCCGGCCACAGCAGCTTTGACAGACAATACCAGTATTTTATTTGATATGTCTGGTTCCTGCACAGTTTCAGACGGTTACGCCAGCTTTGACCATTGCAGTGGCTCATCAGGATCTGGAACAATTGTAACCTCTTCGTCCTCCTCTGCCCTTTATAAGTCCCACTATTCTCGGGAATTCCAATCCACTTCTGCCCTCAGCGATACCGCACACAGATCCCAGCCATCCCTTTCATCTCTCAGCGAAACGCAAACACACTCTCAGGCCGATATGTTCGCACGTCGCACCGTTGCTGTCCAAGGCCCCTTTGGTCTTACTCTCTCCATTGGATGCGCAGTTCCCGGAACTGTGACCGTCGGCTCGATGAAGCCAACTACCGTCTTTGGAACGTGCATCGAAGGATACATGGAAAACAGACATACAATCTCTATACCCCATGACGGATCATTCGTCAATCAACATGTGAGTTTTACATATCACTCGGCCTTGCCACTATCACTCACAGTGTCCCATGGACGCAGATACCCTTACCCACCACGCCCATCATAGAAGAATCCATGCGACCCCCATCACCCACAGGCACCGAGCTCGCCGATCCTGATATAGATCACCTCAACAAACATCTCGCCTCCAAGGGCATCAAAGTCATCGACTACGCATACCAACCCCGCCTCCGCCCCCTCCCCAATGAAATCTTCGATCAACGTCGCGGCATCGCCGAATACGAATGGCACATTGCACACAACCCTCGCAAACGCGCCGTCCCCGGCAAGACCCTCCGCCGCCTGCTCGATCTCAAGTGGATCACACCAGAAGAGATGAACGCCCGTTGTGCGCCACACGACTTCGCCAATCTCCAGGAGCACGATTCGCGCCCCCACCACCCATGGGTGCCCGCCTACGCAGACGTCACGCCCCCCGATGCGTGTGCGCGCGCTCTGCACCTCGCTATCTGGACACCGCTGATTGCGTCCCGTGACCGTTTCCAGACCGACGCGGAGAACGCGCTACGGGTGTTTGAGAGGCAACGCGCGGAGGAGCAGGAGATTATCCTCCGCATGTTGGGGCAACGCGCGTCGGATGAGGAGATGGTCGCTGCGTTGAAAGGGAAGAGGTCACATGATAGGGTGGAGGCCGGCTCCCAAGAGAAGGCAGAAAGAAGTGGTGCGAAGCGCGCGCGCTTATCGCCCTCATCACAGCCGGAGTATACTGGCTACCCGCTCGTCCACCCGAAACAGTACCCTGCCCCTGCATCGGATTACGATCCCGTGCTCTACCCCGAAGCAGCGAGTGCCATCGAATCGCAATCCCAGGGACGGCCACAGTCGCAAGGCCGCTCCTCACCGCATAGAAGCGACACTCCCCCATTAGGTGGGACAGATACCCCGCCGCTAAGAGATAGTCCCCCGCCGCCAGAGCTGAGAAGAGGGCTAAAGAGGACACTTAGTAGAACGCAGACATTTACGCAGCTATAACGCTGATTCGTGTTCGTGTTCTCTACTTACTACTTCCTTGTTCTCATCTGTTTTCTTTCACTGTAATCGTCTTGGGCTTATGGTATGGTTGTATATACGATACGATACTGTAGCATCTCCTCCCTCTTCTCTTCTCTGTTCCCTTCTCTCATCGTGCGCGTGTTATTATCCTTTTATTTTTATTTCTTGGCATTGTAGGACTAGTAGCATCAGCAATAGCATAGTGAACGAAAGAATTCTCAACTTTACTTACATCGGTCGTTAGATATCTCAAGTGTACCAAGACTGTACCTAAGAAATGATGTTAACCTTAGTAATTTTCTGTGTCTAGTCGACTATATCTCATCCGATTATTAATTATAACAATTATAATAATTACTGAAGGTGAAAAAATGGATTCCTTCTAGCCGACTTGAACGACTGACCTCGTCATAATTAATCAGCGATAAATGATACTAGTGACGCGCTCTACCAACTGAGCTAAGAAGGACAGTGATTACTTTTGCGAAAACGGCGATTTAGCGCCAAGTTTTGTGGCTTGGCGGTCCCCAATGGTCCGCGAGGCTTATCATTGGCTTCCGAGGTGATTCCATCCTTTATGAACCCAATATACGCATATCTTACCACCTTATCTCTCTACACCAACCCTGTGCAGCTTCTGTCTTGGATTGTAGACAGTGTAAAAGCCTCTACGCTAATAGAGTTTCAGGTTCTTGCAGAGAAATTCGCAGATCAAGGAGCGTACGAAAGTTACTTGCTGCACATGTATTTTGTATTTTAGATAGACCTAATATATGCTTACTATTTGGAGGCACCGAGGACCGAGCACCCACAGCACTAACAAACAACTGCGTTAGGCACCACTGATGAATGCACATGATGACACTCATATAGAGCACTTTTAGAAAATGAAGCATCAGTAAACCTGTGAAAATATGATATAGCCTTTTACGACTCATGAATTCTCTACTAACTATATGGTAGCTTATAACCCGTTATAATGCATTATACAGGGGGTCATAATATGTTGTCTGAATTGTACTCGCCTTGTAACATTATGAGATAAGTATAAGACCATATGACATGTTCATCACATTCCATATGTATTGTACTCGCCTTGTAACATTGTGAGATACGTGTAAGAACATATAACATGTTCATAACGTTTCAATGTGTATGGTACTCGTCGTGTAACATTAGGAGATAAGTATAAGATCATATAACGTGTTCATACTACTCTCAACTCATTACAAGTTTGTGATAAGATATTACCCATATTACAAGCCATCTTGAGGCAATGAAATCATACGAGAGGCCTTTTGAGACAACAGAAAGGGTTTCAATTTAATCAGACAGTATTATAATTTGTGTTACTGCATTAGTCAGAAGCATAAAACCCATCTTCATCATCATCACCATCCACCAACTCGTCATCATTATCATCCTCCTGGTTTATTAAAAGTACTACCATATATGAGGAGTAGAGCCTAGGCAGAAATCAAATAACCTAGGTAGAAGTAGAATAGCCTAGGTAAAAATCAAATAACCTAGGTAGAAATAGAATAGCCTAGGCAGCAATCAAATGGCTGATTAAGAGCATCATAGTTACTAAAGACTAGATCAGATGTTACAAAAATTTAAAAAGTGGCACATCCGTCTGATGCCGCTTTCTTCCTATCCACCAACATGCCTCCCTTGTCCAGATCCCAACGCAGTTCTTCATCCTCATGCTCAATATACAATCCGAGTAGATTCATAATTTTGAAGAAAGATATGAGCTTGGAACATCAGCATGGTGCCTCTACTGCGACTACAAAGGGAATTCATCAAACCCCAAGGAAGGTTTTCTGCGGAGTCCACTACTAGTGAAAGTATGCAAAAATTTATGATTGTCTACCTTGGAAACTCACTGCTCCAGACCTATATCCACATTTTCACCTCTCTGATATCTGCTAAGGACGTGAAGGCTCAAAATGGCGATGCCACTGGTGAGGAAGACATGGAGGGCATCACACCACCAGCCACCTACCAGCGCACCTTGAAGACTGGGTGTGCACAAAAACATATCTGTAAAGACATTGCCTCAACTTTGAATATGGGTAACAAGGTTACCTCCTGTTCCATTGTGTACACTGCTGTTCAGGTATGTTTCAATTTTTGCAATCATCCTCACTCTCCATCAAGCTTCTCTTTGCACTCAGCAGTACGCCACAATAGACTACCACTCATCAAGGTCTCAATTGCTACCCATGCTATTATTACATTTTCGACTTCTGTGATGATGTCAATGATGACCTAGAATCTGCAAAACTTGTTCAAAACTTGTTAAAGTGCTGGAACAAGTAAGTGGCATACCCTTCTTTATTTCTTGTCCGATTACTGACATCATTGATCCTATAGACAGATCCTTCCAGCTGCAATACCTTCTGGGGCAATTTGGCACAACCAAGACATGACAGAAATTGGCAACTCAGCGCGCTGCTTGCAAAAATGCAGCTCTCTCTTAGCAGGGCTGACAAAGATTATTTAGTATAGCCTGTATTTGTCTACATTCAATAAATATCATACATTGTTGTGAGCACACTGTTGGTTTTGCAATAACCTTGTGAAATGTGAATATTATTTTAATGAATTGTGATATTTATCCCTATGGTAAGGCATCATACAGACACTGTAATTATTCCTTAAGACTATGAGGCATCGTAATGCAGACATTGTCTCATGAGTTCCCTCAATACCGACGAAAGATTGTCAATAGTCTAGTGGATTGTGAAAGATTGTGAGATGCCATCAGAATTGCGAAACACCTTACGATCATATATGCACATATCTAGGGTTATAACCCCCCCTATAATCTTACGGTCACATCATAGCTCTTATATCACATCGTAACTCATTTCGGGTGATCATAACCCCTCATCATATTTTCAACAATTTACTGATGAAGTGTTTCTACAAAGCACTCGGGCACTTTGTGTGCAGAGCAATCTGTCGCACAGTAGCATTGTGGACAATTCAGGTAGAGTATTTGAGTGCAGTACGCATTAAGTGCCTAAGGCACTCTCAAGCTCAAGTGTTTTTGAAGTGCTCCGTGGAAGTGCATCCACTTCCTACAGTGATCAAATTGAAATTGTGTGTCCAAAGTTATGGAGTATTATCATTGCCAAGCTATCTACCCCATGAGATAGAGCCCTTACAAATTGTTTAATTATTCACTTTGGACTAATTGCGACCCTCCTATCAACCCGGAGAAAGAGAGCACGTGGATCGTCTATTGGAATAGCTTATAAGACTCAGTCAGCATAGAGTCAAGAACAGACTATATATTCGTTAAGTAGTAAGTCCTTATTAGAATAAGTAAGACTACAATAACAACGTCAGTAAAAGATCAACATAATATAAGAAAAGTAGTACAGACCTCAATCGGCGTAAGAACGGACTGAGGTACTCGAAACTAAACTACGAGACTATAATTACATAGCTATTCACTTGTATGATAAACCACTAACTAAAGAAGGCAACGAAAAGATAGTGGCATAGATGGGGGCTGAGAACATATACCGTAAATTTTAGCCACTAACCTGATTCAATTGAAGTCAATCACGAGTCGATATAGACGCGTCGTAACACGTAACGCGTCATGCGGTTTGAATTCCAACATTGCCGAGAATGTTAAAATAAGCGACAATAAACGTTTGGCCTTGGTGAGCTCATGAGGCAAACGGATAATGTACGTGCTCGAACGTACTCTGCCTATATACGAAATATCTACATACTTAGATAAATATCAAGTAATTAAGCAGCCACAAAAATGTAAGTACGACTGCGGGCGGAGTCTGGAATCCTCGTAATCTTAGCGCTCATATTCCAACAGAGAATTCACTCCCTGGTCACATAAATCCACCTTATATACCTTCCATCTGTCATGGGTGTCATGTTACTCATACCTATAGGCATACGAATAGGTATAAGTAGCAAGTGACACCTACCTAACGCTCTCACCAGTATTCAATTCCTTCGACAATTATACGACAATTCAGCACAATGGCTCTATCTCTACATGATCTCACAATTTCAGAGCTTCGCCACTTCTCACCTTACCTACTTGCACTTCTACTCACCGTACTTTTCATCAATTATTTGCTCACTCCTCCAGCCGAATTGCGACACCTCCCCTGTGTACCCGTCATTCCTCTTCTATGGAGCTTTATCAGTGGCGAGACCGAGAATTCGAGAATCAAACGGCTCTTGTTACCCTTTATGCAAGATGAAGGCGAAGGAGCTGTCTTAGTCTACGCATTGGGAAGATGGATGGTTCATATACTGGATCCCAAAGTACGTCGAGATAGACTATACGTTATTTGAAACTTATGATCTTCCTCAGATCTTCAAAGAAGTATCTGATGACCTAAATCAATGGCCAAAGGAAGCGCCTCCCAGTAAGTGATTGAGGTCTATGACCACCTAAAATCGCAGTTAATTCACTGTTATTCTCGATAGCGGAAATGCTTTTCTTTCGCTTCATCGGCAAAACTAATGTGGTCCTTTCAAATGGAAAAACATGGCAGAAGCATTCCAAAATTATCCAGAGCGCATTCATTCGCAACCTTCCTATCGACGGATTTTCTGATCTCGCAGAAAAGCTTTTTAAGAAGATGGGAGAAGGCGGGCTCATTAAATGGGATGACTGGACTATGGTGAGTTGAATTGAGACGCAATCTTCTATCGGTTACACTTAATCTTAACCTCTACTTCTCTCGTATTCAATAGCGTTATACATTAGATGCCATTGGTACTGTGATTTTGTGGATAGGAACAAGAGCCATGCTCACAATACTTTCTGTTAGGGACTACTATCCTCGGATATGATTTTGAAGCCATAGAAGACGATAATAGCCCTTTTCTAAAGCAGTATGTGGGAGTTATGGAAGCCATGGCGTCGCCACTGTGAGCATTCTTTTCCTTCACACATATTCAACATCGAATTGATTATGTTTATCTAAGATATTTAATCTTCCCTCGTCTTGAAACGTTACTTCCTCGACATAAAGTTATAAAGGAGATTGATTCCCTTGTTGGACTCTTCCAGGGCGTCTTGGATTATAAGCGTAATAATCGAGGAAACGATATACTTACCTACATGTTGGAGCATCCAGGGATGACGCAAGAAGAATATCGGGATAACATGTAGGTATACTATCCACGTTCATCGTTTGAATAACCGGTTAGATCTGAGCCTGTTTTGCTGCAGGGTCACATTCTTCGTTGCAGGGCACGTAAGTTTATAATCCTATTGCTCTAATGCTATCCTGCTATAACGTCGCCATTATAGGACACAACTGCAAGTGCGATGTCATCACTGGTTTATTATCTTGCGCAATACCCAGAATATCAAGAGCGCGCCAGAAAGGAAGTTATTAAGGCTCTAGGAAATGACCAACCGAACACCAAGAATTTAAACCAGATCCCATTCGTTCAGGCTTGTATCAA